ATTTGGGGGGCTGAGCCCCCAGCTCCAGCAGCGGGTGCCGGGATCTGGAAGCTGCGTTTCTAGGAGAGGTGTAATTTCTGGCTATAACTTCTGTGAAACGCTTTGAAACGGAAAATGCCCTGGAAATGTGAGTTATTCCTTCTCGAGGGAGAGGAGGAAAAGCCTGAGAGCGAGAATTATGGGAAGGAGGAAATTCAGTTATTTGACTCAGGCTTTTCAAAATCCCCTGGAAACTCATCTCTCCAGAGATGGCTGAGGCCAAATTAGAGTTCTGCGGCGCCTGCGCCCTCGCTGCTGCCTTACTCTCGTCTCCACTTCGTTTTCCAGGGGGATCTGGGTCCCTTCAATCCCGGCTTGCCGGTGGAAGTGCCCGTCTGGTTGGCCATTAACCTGAAGCAGAGGCAGAAGTGTCGGCTGGTTCCTCCAGAATGGATGGATGTTGGTAAGGGTGGTGGCTTTGGCCCTGGGCTTCAGTGAGTGCAGCAGAAACACAACATTTTTTTTTAAAAATTGCTGGTTTTCACCATTAGTGGGAAGGTTAATTCAACAAACACGACGTAGCTCTGAGAGAAGGATGTAGTGGTCCGCCTCTGGGGTTCTTTGTCTCTACAGGAGATGTAAGCTTCCCAGTTAAGTCAGGTGTTTAACTCCTGTTCCTCTGGTGAGGAGGAAGGAGGAGGGTTAGGTTGAATCGTGGTGAGCAGCTCACAAGCCTTGTCCAGAAAGAGCTTTGGGGATCTGGGATGACACCGAGGAGGGAGACCTTGGGGAGGTGTTAATCACCGGGTTGTTCACGCCGTGAAATGGTTTTCCTCGAGGGCATTGGAAAGGGGAGGTCGGTCTCTCTCACTCTGCAAAGTGAGAATCCTGGCGCCCTCCCTGTTGTCATCTCCAGGAAAACAGAGAGAGAGAAGAAGAAAATGCTAATGGAGCTGCAGGAAGAGGGAGACCCGCTCCGGGCATCCTGCTTGATGCAATCAAGGGCGCAAAGGCGAATTACCCAAGCGCTCTGTGGGGGAAGGGACCCTCTGGGGAGAGAGGAATCCCAAAGGAGAGGCGTTGGGTTGGGGGGGGATCAAGCTGGTGCAGATCCGGCCTCCCAGCGTGGTGTGCTGAGCGCGGCTTCGACGTCCCTCTTGTGTGCTTCGTTACAGGAGCCGCTTTCTGTCCTGGGAGGGGGGTAAAAATGCCCCTGGAGAGGTGAAGGTCTGGCCATGCCTGATGGTTCCTGGTTGCCTTGTAGAAAAACTGGAGGAAATCCGGGACCAGGAGCGTAAAGAGGACACCTTCACTCCGATGCCCAGCCCCTACTACATGGAACTCACCAAGCTGCTGTTAAACTAGTGAGTAGGAAACGTAACAGGTTCCGCCCGAGTACCTGCTGGCACAGACCATTTCTCAAGCTTTCCTTGGCAGCCACCCCAGAGGGGTGACAGGGAGAGTTGGTGGAGGTTTCTTTCCCGTTAGATCTCGCTGCAGCAGGTTTTTTGGGGTAACTTGGCTTTTCAGCAACTCGGGGATCGCTCGTTCCGCGCCCTGATAATTGGGGCTGTGAGCCCCAGGCTGCTGTACAGAGCTGGGGAGATCTTTACATTGGGACTGCCTTGCGGCCTGGCAGAAACGTGGCTTCTCCCCTTCCCATCGGACTGCTGCCCTCAACGGACAGAACTGGGCGCTCTGGAGGGTGTTGGAAATGAGAAGGATCTGTGTGGTTTTGGGCTAAGTTGGGAATTATTCCTCCATCGAACAGCACCACGGGACAAAACTTCTTAGGAGCAGCTGTTGCCTACCCCAGCTCTTCCCTTGGTTGCCTTGGTGAGGCCATCTCATGACCTCACCCTTAGGAAAGCACAAACCTCACCGTTTCCCCAAACCCTCCGCTTTCCTTAGCCCCAGGGAGCTGCCGTTTCCACAGCTTTTCCTCACCTCAGGTCTCCTGGTTTCTCCTCTCCATCGAACTCCCCCACTGCTTGAGGTGACCTTGGCAGAGGAGGGAAAAGGAACTGTGTGAGGGGCACCACGTCGGGTCCCCTCCACCTGGTAGAGGCCTGGAGGATGGGCAATGCATTCCTGTTCGGCAGCCTCAACCCTCCAGGCTCCTTCCTTGGCTCTCCTTCAGGAGGAAAGCTCCTCTTCCCTCCACCGGAGAAGCAGGAGAGCGGGGATATTCCGCGCCTGAGCTCCTGCCTGCTGAGGCATTTCACTTGTCAGATGTGCTGGCGGGTATTTCTCTCCGCTCGGGCTCTTCTGACTGGAAGCCCTCGGTGACGGCGGGGCGGTGGCCGAGGCTTTTCCTCTGGAGGTGACGC